CCTCCCCTCCACACACACTACTCCCTGGGGTGTGTGTGAGCTCACAAGAAGTCAGCGTCAAATTCCTACATTCATAACCAATAACGCCTATGATGTTACTTGTCGATTTTTAGAGGTAATGAACCATGTAGAGAAAGACATGTAGTGACACAAAGCTGTTAATTTTTCAGGATTGCAATCCAATGTGTGCATGTATGTTACATTCTTAAAGACATACAAAGACAACTCCTTCTTAATTTCATCAGGATTAATGGAGTTAGTTTTTAACTAATTTTAATGAACCAATGAACAGAATGCTGTTTGAATTAAAAAAATTCAGCGCTTTTCTGGTCTGTTTCCTTCTGCTATTGTCCGGAGCCATTGTGGACGCTGATGAGTGTTTTGTGTCTGTTCTCTGTGTCTAATTGATGGATGGTCATTGAATTAGGTCAATGCCACAGCCTCTTAATTTTTTTCCTTTAACCCTTGTGCTGTGCTAAAAATGCTTTAACTAATTTGGTGTTCCTGGTCAAAAATTACCATGCAACTTTTTAAAAAAAGTGATTGTCAATTTCTCATTATGCTACATTATCACCAAATATTGGATTCAATCTTTTTGTCAGCTTGTTTTCTTTCAAGAAGCACAAGTCTTGTATTTCCTTTTGGAACTGATTGGTCATAGGCCTCAAGTTTTTGAGTTAAAAAAGCATTATTTGTGGAGAATTTTGGTAATGTTTTAAAAAAAGGTGCATAAGCTCAGATCCTATGATCCTTCAGTCCTTTTTCAGTCCTATGATCAACCAGTTCCAAAAGAAAATACAAAAACTATGTTAATGGAAAGAAAACAAGTTGTCAAAAAGATTGGAGTGAATATTTGGTAATAATATAGCATAACAAAAAAAAAATTATAAGCAATTTTTTGTAGGATGGTCATTTTTGACTGGGAACACCAAAAAGTGCAAAAATTAAAAAGTTATATTATTTAATTAAGTTGTTATTATATGTATATAAAATAAAATACAATATTTATACATTTATTTCATGCAATTATGTGTGTATGTTCACATGTGTGATCTCAATAAGAACAGAACTTTCCTGGAACACTCTGTCTGGTTTGAACAAGGTCTATACATTAAGCTGACGTAATGTGTACTAGGACATGCTGTTGCCTCTCTCCCCTTGTGGCTGAGACATGTATGGCTTGATTGGTCTGGGCAATCTGTAAACTTGTTTTGAGATTCTACAGCCTTTATCCTAGCATGAGCTTCAAATAGGTGTTTGTATGCAGGATTAGCAATTAGAGTGGAGGGCTGCTGTGGTAAAAACGATTATGGGCTAAATGTGAGCACAGGGTATATAGACTATGCATCTCAGAGTTCAGGGAGCTAATAGCAATAGACATTAATTGGTACTTTAAAGGAATCGGAATCTATTATTTTTAAAAATGTCCCTTTTTCTTAAAACACACCCTGGTTTCAATGTATGAATGTTTTCACAGCTGCAGGTCTGGCTTTTACCACCAGGGGGTTTGACTTACTGTTTTTCTGTGTGTGCTGCAAGATCCGGTTTGTTCCTGTGTCAGAGTTACAATAGTGAAAGCAGTGAGTAGTGAAAAGAGTGAATGACCCGAGATGGAGGGAGGAAAGCAAAAAGGAACGTGGTGACTTTATCAGACCATTTAAAAAGCAAATAGAAAATAGCCAGCCCATGGTTTCAGAGTCTCACCCCAAACGCAGTGGAAACTAGAAAGGCAAAGAAAAAGAAAAAACAAAACAAAACTTGATGCCTCATGCCAAGAACACCAGAAAAAAAAATACAGGGTATTTCTGTAACCTGTAGACTAGAGGAAATATCATTCTCATGCAATCTGATGCCAACTCTAAAGATAGACATTACTCAAGTTAATAATTCATGCCTCAAAACTACATTTTATGGCTCATGAGAGACAAAATAAATGTTAGCAAATTATGTTTATTGTGAAAGAAGGTTGTTATGGATCAATAGGACCTGATGATTTAGTATTCCAAAATGCACAAAGTTTATAAAAAAGGACAAAGAATTTCTACATTTCTACTACTTGATATTTGTTTATAATGTACTGCTGCAATAGCACTAACTCATAATAAAGTTAAAATA